TCATATCTCACTAATAGATATAAACACAAAATTAGACCTAGGCCTGGACACTTGCTTGCCTCCCTGCAGATCTCAAAGTCTAGAGTATTTGAGGAATTGAGAGCTTTGAGGAAACCATGTCTAAATGTCTCCTATAAAGGGAGTTCTGGGGGTGGTTGGTTCCACAAACTCTTAGTCATAATGTACACCCTCCTCAGTGTGTCCCATCCACCTCTGCCCTCCATCTCTAATATATGCTGGGAGCCGGTTTTCACACTCCTGCTTTCTTCAGATGCCATCCTATTTACTGTGCGTATCAAAAGCCTCTATCCCTAAATAAAGCAGGTCAAATGAAATGGAACAGGAAGCTGGCTTGGACTGTGTCTCTCACGCACTTTGAGACTTCAGGCAATTTCTTCATCACTCTGACCTTTTATTTCCTCCTTCATCAAATCGGGTTGATTCAAACTTCATGAGGTTTGTCGTGAGGATCAAGTACAACGATACAGAGTGCTTATTCAGTGTATGTTCTTGTTATGAGTACTCCTTCTTAGGTTCAGCTCCTCTGGTTTCCACGTCTGTCTAATGAGACACTGGTGAGTGCGTCCCTCTGTGTTTTCAACATTTCCTTTTGTTCCTTTGTTGAGCATCTACACTGGACCAGATACAGTGCTAGCTTCTGGTGATCCAAGAATGAGTTAAGATGCAGACAGTTCTAGATGCCCTCCGAGTAGAGAACACAAAGAAATGCTTTTAGAAACCTGGAATGGAAGGAGGATGAAAGAAGTCTTCTTCAAAAGTGAAAACCCTTGAGTTGCCCGGAAGAGAAGAGAGCAGGCAGCGCATGGTGTCTCCTTGGGCCTCTTCCCTATGAAGAGAGCTCCAAAGTTAGCCAGGCAGCTCTGGGCTGCAGGCAAAACTCTGACTTCTTTTGATGGCCCTATTTCTCTGAAGACCCTCTATAATAGGATTGCAACACGGAAAGCCTAAGTGTCTCCTCTTTATGGGGAAATAAAGAAAATTGTTGTTCCCTCCTCTGTGCATGTATTTCTCCATTCTTTTATGTGATCAACAAACATTGTTGAGTATCAATTAAGTACCAGGCGCTGTGCTAGGTGATAAGGATACAGAGAGGCAGGAAACTTGGTCTAGTAAAAGAGACAAATGAGAAAAATCAATTTTATGAGAGCACTAACAAAAGCGGAGTCGGAGGTGGGTGCAGGGGGAGCAGTGTTAGGCTGTTAGGCTGAACAACTCTCCCAGTTTGCCTGCTGCTGTCCCCATTTTAGCACCGAGAGTCCCACATCCTAAGAAACTGCTCGGTCCTGCATGAACTGGGACAGTTGGTCACCTGACCTCCTGGTCATGAAGTCGGATCTCCTAATGCCGTCTGGGGTAGGGGTGGCGGTATAGTCATGTTAGACTTGGTGTCCAGCATAAACTTAATGAAATACTAGATGGATGGGGACAGTGAGAACACTGGTGAAGTGAGTGAATTCAGCACATGGAAACTAGATTGCACTGAATGCGTAGGAAAACCCCAGCATTGTGCCCATAGTTTGTGTGGAGCTATTCCCCACGTGTTTATTAACCAAAGAGTTAATTTTTTAAAGCTGAATCTGAATGATATTGATAGCAAAATTCAGGTTTCATGATTTCTCTTTCCCTGTTGCTGGTGCTCTGAGCTCCCATCAATTCAGCTACACAGTTCATCCTCTCCCTGCACCCCTCCTCCAATATTTGCCCCCATAAAACGCAGTGTTCACATCTCATTTCTCAGCAAAATTATGAGATGTCTTGAGTGAATTCACATTAATAATATTTTAGCTAACAACACTTCCAAGCGTCTACAGACCATTTACCAAGGAAACGAAATTCTTTCAAATACTTGTGTCAAAATAAATGAACCAAGGCTTTTCTGATGTAGTCGCCTAACATTTTATTGTGGGTATAAACATAACTCCCTGATCTCCAAAATTCAGCAATCTTTATTAGGTGCTTTCTTCATTAGTGAAAAGAAAAAGTGTTCCCTATAGATTTTTCCATAACTTTTAGTGGTGGAATAGGGCATTTCTTTCCTAAAGTAATTTAAACTAATATGAAACTCTTTTCTAATGTAAAAGTGTCTTTAGAACACCTTAGAATTATTGCAAACAAAAAGCAGAATTTATTAAGGCTATGAATCAAAGAGAAATGCTGTGTGTTCTTGTTGCCATTTTTTAAAAAATCAGAGGTTAATCTTTTCCCTATTTTTGGCTTAGCAATGAGTCTGGGTTTGTTTTTTGTTTTTTTTTCTTTCCTAATAGGTTCTCTTTGGTTCCAAGGTATTCCCAGCTGCTGAGAGTCACAAATTCTGTCTGAACAACAGGGTGACCTTTTCAGAGATGAGCCAATGTTTGTAAGCTAAAATACAAAGGGAGGAAAAAGAATTTACTGACTGTGTGCTGGAGGAGGAAGGCTCCCCCACCCCCACCCCCACCCATGTTCCAACTCCGTCTCCATTCCTCACTGACCTTCCTGGAGCAGCAGAACTACCAGCTACAGAGATAAGGTAGCCCACTCAGCTCTCTGATGTCTTTAAAATTCTCCCTCAGGGTCCACTTGTCTCCTGCAGGGAAGAATCAGCATCTGGGGCCTCCAGTCTGTGGCACACAGCTGACTGCTCCTGGGAAGGGAAGTCAAGGGGCAGCCCACCTGCCCTAGGAAGGCAGGTGGTCTGAGATACGTCTACCCACCACCAGTCAGTCACACGGGGTACATTTTGTCTGGATCTGACCTGATGCCCTCAGTTCCTCAGGCCTGAATCCACTTAACCTTGGTCTCCAAACTGCTTTGCATTCTTTACCCATCCCCTCTGCCCTTCCATTCTTGGCCCTTAAAACAAAAAACAAAAAAACACAAATCACAGACACAGCAGTTATCACACCTTTTCTGACTGTTCATCACAGCTTTGCACACTCCTTTCAGATCTTCTCTGCCTTTCTCTCTTTTCTTTTTAAACCTCCCAATTTTGCTTTTTGGCAGCAAACCAAAGATTTCTCTGTGGGACTTAAAAGAAATATTACAAGGCAAACCCTCTCCTGGTACAAGAGCTACAGAATGATTTGCATATATAATCTCTTCCTGTGCCTCCTGCTAGCACGGGCCTTTTCGTCCCCAGTCTTCGTGGTGTAACAAAAGAATAAATTATGGTACTACTGATAGAACATTAAACCGACAATCTTCTGAGGCACTGGGAGTTTTAATGGAAACCAAAGAAAATTCAAGATTATACATTTTCTTGTAAATGTATTTCTTTTTTCAGTCTGCCCTCTCACATGTTATCAATTTTCTTGCCTTCTTATTATTCAGTTTCCTATCTGCCAAAGAACAAATCTAAAGCTGCCTTTGAGCCTGCCTCTCATCAATGGAACTGTACTTGCTGATAGAGAATTAAGGTATTGACAAATCAGTTACAAGGTGTTTAGGCTCATACTTTAAAGATTGAGTTAAATTAGTCAACCATAGTCATTTCAGAGACCGAATGGATTCCCTTACCTAATATTTTGCCTCCTTCCTATTTCTTGGGGAAGATGGGAAAAGTGAAAATAAAGGTGTTTATATAGTGCCATCTGGCGGCACAGACATTTAAAAGCTCTGTTTCATCTAGGGAGTGTTAAACTGTGCCTGGAAAAGCGTAGCTACTATTAGGGTCTGGTTTGGAATCTCCAAGTATAATTCTAGTTTTGTTTTACCTTCTATGAGAATAATCGAATCCTGGGGCCTCTTTTTGGTGTCATTGAGAATTTTCAGCTTTAATCTGCTGTGTGGAGAGCCAAAAAAAGATAACCAGAAATAGACACAACATTGTAAACTGACTATACTTCGATTAAAAAACAGAAACAAAAACAAAAAAACCCTGAAAATCTACAGGAATCACTGCACTGGTATTTAAACTTTAGACTGTTCCTTACCGCTCCACTTCTGACTATCTCACTAAAATAAAACACTGATTCTGCTGAGAAGAGGAAAATGTTTATAATATAAGAAAATGGCAATGGCTACTCCCGTTAAAGTATAATGGTGTCCCCTTTTTCCAATTCTTCTTGCTTAAATCTGTGGTTCTTAAATGTTAAATATATAAATAGGTGGAAACAAAGATTTCACCAATAATATTTATTAAAGAGATATATTTCTTTTCTTCCAACAGAAAGGCATACTCTATTTTTAACATTTCTAAGAAAAATCTTAATACTTCAAAAATATAAAACACAAATGACCTTAATATATAAACAGTTCTTACAAATCAGTAAGAAAAAACAGTAATAGAAATGCATAAACAACATAAAACTGAATGCCATTTAAGAGAAACACATTTCCATTAAACATGAAAATATGGTTAAATTTAAATGAACTATTATTAACCATATGATTAGGAATTATAGCAAAATATTGCTTTTTACCTGCCTAATTGGCAAAAGCTAAAATTATGCTGGTGATAATAGCATGAGACACTCCCTTATGATACTCGGGAGTGTGGGTTGGTACAACTGTTGCGAAAGGATATTTGACAAGAATTAAGGGTATTAACTATATTCCAAGGGGTTTTATCTCACAATTCATGCAAAGATTTATATCTGAGGCTAGTCACTGCATTATTATTTATAATAGGGAAAATCATAAAAATGTATTACTAATATGAAACACTATGTACCATTATAAACAAGGTTCTTAAAATATTAAAGAGATATACTTCTATGAGGACAAGACCAGAGTTCTAGAAGTTGGCACACTGCTAGCAAAGTTCAAAATCAATAAACAGCCTTCCCCCTACACATAGAGAAACAAAGCAAATTTAGAAAAATGGTAGCTGAATCAGAAATCATTGTCTAATTTATTTGTTTTAAGGATTTTTAATTTTTATTTGTTTACTGTTGGTGAGGTACTGGGGATTGAACCTAGGACTTTGTGTATGCTAAGCATACGCTCTACCACTGAGCTACACCCTCCCCCAACTTACCTAATTCATTTGCTTTTCTCAGGATCAGCTTGCCGTTTCAAAGACAGATCTCTAACTTGTAACTGAGGCTGGCTTTGCCTTGTGAGATGCTTCAGGACCAAGAATCTACCTTGACCCATACTCATCAGCTGCTGTTTCCAAAGTACTTCCACCTTTCTTAGCGGGGCTCTCCTTGGGTACCAGCACTGAGAAGCTGATCAGATCTGCATATGTCAGTCATCACCTGCTTCCCAGCTGGTGATAAAGGTGAGTCCTTACCGTGTTAATCTCTGAGGCCGTGATGGATTTTCTCGGGACTTCTTCCTGTTGTGCATTCTTTCATCTTGTGGATAAACGGGTAGACATGATTGTGAATTGAATTATAAAGCATGCTGGACAAGTCTAAAATGCTTTGAAAAATAGAAGTTATTTAAGATGGTTGAGTCTCAGACCTCACATGATGTCTGCTGAGATATGTATCTGCTGAGTTGGCAGTGGGGGGCCGGGGGGGAGGGTGAAATACCTAATTTCTCAGTGTAACCCATCACCTGGAAATTTCTCCTTAAGTTTGGTCTTCTTCATGTGGTTCCCTGACACTTACGAAAGGATTTCTTTGATCTTAATCTTTTCTTCATTAAGATACTCAGAACTGTGAAAACATGAACATCTCAGGATGGTGGGTTTTAGGACACAGTAGTATCCTTTTACTGTCCTAGTTAGAATGAGAGTAACTGAATGTGGTACCCCTGTCTAAAGCAGTTTCAATTAAAAAGCACTCAAAAAGCCTCTGTTCTTAATTTCAGCTATGTTTCTATAGAATTTTCTTTTCAGAAACAGGATAGCGATTTCTTGATCTCTATGGTTTCAGGACCCCCAACGTCCCCAATTCAAAGTGCTCCTATTCTGTTGAGCGCATTAGCAGCAATTTCATAACTGGGAGTTAGGATGGACACGCAGTGACGTCTAAGTGGTTGTTGGGATGGTTGTTGATTATAGATTTTTAAATTAAATACCAGTTTAGTGTCTGGTGTTATTTGAAAGGGTCAGTCTTCCCCAGTAGGAATTTTAGCGGAAGGATGCCAAGCCCTGCTCACTTTATGTCTCACTTCCAACCCTCTCTCTTGGTGCCAAGTTTATTATGGGTTAGAAACTGAGCAGGATCAAGAGGTTCATTTCTAAGAAGTAATCATTCAATGTTCGTATAATTCTATGAAGGCAGTTTAATGATTTCACAATTACATAACCAGAACATAGCATACTGGAAGGTCATGATGAATGCACTATCCTGCAACCCTAAAAATGTCCCCCACAAAGAAGTCTTAATCAAATCATGCACGGAGATTCAATTAAAGTGATACCCAGTCTGTGCTGGGCTCTCTTTCTCTCCTTTCCGGGTGGGCATTAACTCGGTTTTCCTGAGGATATAGTAAGGAAAGCCTTCCTTCTGTGTTATTCTGGTTAGTGCTTCAACTTCCTTGTGACCTATAAGGCACTATTTTGTGCTGCTCTTAAAAGTAGATTCGAGACCCAACAGTAAGACAGAATAACAACCATACATGAGAAGACCCTCCTCTCAGAACCTGTCTGCTCCTCTCTTGTCAGTGACGTGTGACTAGAGCAGGCAAAGGTGCTGGGCCATGGGCTTCATGCTTCCACTTCAAAATAACTTTTTCAGATCCCACTCCTGATGGAAAACTATTTGCAACGTTGTACTGTAGCACTGGTCAGTTTCTGGTATACAACTTTATTAATAAACAAAATAGCACCTAAACAAATTCTTGCCTGCATTCCTAGGAGACATCTACTGAAGATAACGGACTGGTTGCTGACTTCAATCAGGAGCCAGAGCCGTTTTTATGACAATGAACTCAGGGCTGGCAACAACTATAGGAGTTGTTTTGTTTTCATAAGTTTGGAAACAATGCACTAATATTTTATTATTTTTTATTGAAGTATAGTTGATTTAAAATGTTGTGTTAGTTTCTGGTATACAGCATGTGATTCAGTTATATATATGTATATATAATAGTTTATTATTTTTTTAAGAATGTCTGTGATTCTAAAAAAGTATTTCTGGAATATATAGGTTTCTTATTAAAGTGTTATGGGTTTGATGGACATAATTAGAAGGCAGAAGGACCTTTCATCTCATAAGACAACTTCATACTCTAGAACTCTAAGGTACCAGTGATCCCTGGGTTACGGTTTTCCTCATCCTTAGAGGGAATTTTATGCTTCAGGTACTAAAGAGAAGGTGATGGATAGGGATGAACATAAACAGATATTTGTACTGTCACAGTCTGGAATCTACTGTCTAGAGTTATACTGTCTTAAGAGGCAATATAGTTGTTTATTCAAAAAAAGGGACAGAGCGGGGAGGGTATAGCTCAGTGGTAGAGCACATGCCAAGCATGCACAAGGTCCTTGGTTCAGTCCTCAGTACCTTCACTAAATTAAAAAAAAACAACTAATTACCTTCCCCTACCCCAATAGTTTAAAAACAAAAGGGACAGGGTGATTCAGTGATTCCTGTGTGTTAGGGACAGAAGTGAGAGGTAGGTAGTGGGCAGGAACTGGGAAGGACAAGCGTTATGG